AACACTTAGAGATATCCTTCATGCTATAGGATTAATCCATTTCAATCCTTGTAGAACTAGGAACCCTTAAGCCTTCATTATCCTTATTAAACACTGTTTGAGGCTTGCCTAATCGAGATAGGTTTTGAGTTCCTAATAAACAATAAGTCTTAGTAATCCTAATTTGATTAGAAGATCACTTTAGTAGGTTTTAATGTAATAAACCTTCTTACATGCTTATCTAAGAATCACTTTCGCACATAACCGCTTTTAGCAAAAAGGTTTTTATTATAAAAATGTTGAAATTTTCATAAGAAATTGAAGTGCTTTTTGAAAAATCATTGGGGAGTGCTTCTGGATAAAGCACATGGCAGTTCTTATAGAAAAAGTGCTTTTATCACTCATAAGCATTTCTAAACTTTTCTGTTAAACACTGTCAGAAGCATTTTGTTATTGTAAAAAAGTGCTTTTAGCCCATGCACGAATTGAAAAACTTTAATTTTTCATGGATTGTGCACATAACCTAACCATAAAACCCCAATGAAAAAAAAAATCACAAGTTGCTAATGAAAAAAAAAAGAGCCAAATTACAAGGGTCAAATTGGTCATTTGGCTAGGGAATTATAGGATGATTAATGATAGTAGGTGCAAGTCTTCAAGGGCAACACAATCAAAAGTAAGAAAGGGGAAAAACAAAACAATTATAAGAGTAATACTAAATTTTGGCCAAAAGTCACTTTTGGTCCCTATAGTTTGGCACTTCAATCACTTTTGACCATGTAGTTTCAATTTCGTCAATTTTGTCATTATAGTTTCGTATTTGTATTCTTATCAATTTCGTTAACGATGCAAGTGACAATTTCGTCAACCCAAAACCCTTGAGCGTAAAAGTTGGTATGAAATTCTCATAATTTCATATTAGGACTTGAGATTCAACCCCTAATCCCAATTTTTGAAGAACCCTAAACCCAAATGATCAATTTCAAGCCCTACTATGAAATTATGGGAGTTTCAGACAAGCTTTTATGCTCAAAGATTTTGGGTTGACGAAATTACATTTTGCACCGTCAAAGAAATTGACAAGAATACTAACTTGTCCTTGAATTGCTACAAATACGAAATTACAAGGTCAAAAGTGGTTGAAATGCCAAACTACAGGGATCAAAAGCGACTTTTAGCCCTAAATTTTTGTCCAATTTGCAATTACATTGTTGACCATGTTGCATAAAGAAATGAAAACCATTTTTATGTTGGGCAAAAAGTCACTTTGGGTACCTATAGTTTGTCATTTTATCACTTTGATCAAATTGAACGATCAGGACCAAAATGGTAAAAATAGCAAACTATAAGGATCAAAAAAGACTTTTTGCCTTTATGTTTTAGAAGATGAAATTTGATTATTTAAGTTTTAAATAAATTTTTTATATTAGCTGGATACCTCATAACGGATTTTGAACTCCTCACTTTAGAGAAAGATGTAAACATCATTGAATGAGTTGCCCATTGCTTGAAAAGGAAAGAAGCAAGTTTCACCTTTTCATGCTCTAGACTCTAGTATCTCCATTTGTCAAATCACAAGTCTTTTTCCCTATAATTAACCAACATTTATGCTGCCTTCGATCCTCATTTCCAAGTGGTAATTTCTCTTTGAGGTATTAAGAAAAAAAAAAAGTTTAAGTTTGACTTGTAAAGTTATAACATCACTCGAGGATCTTTTTGCTAATTTTACTTTATTTTTCAACAAAAAAAAATCTATTTTTTTTTAATGCATTCTTCTTTATAATTATTTTTAATAACCAATTGAGATTTTAATAAATTTTTAAAAATTATGAATTTCATGGGGATTCAGTTCAGACTTTTATAAAGCAACTAAAAATCTATGTATATTTAATCATGCTTTCTAAAAAGTAAAAAAAGTATTGAAAAAGTCATTAACTTTGGAGAAATTTATAAAGTTGTGGAGTTTTAGTTTGGGGTGTATAAATATCATACGTCGTACAAATCTAATTGTACCTACAAGTTTTGAAGTGTTCATTCTGCTCGTGAGCTGAAGGTAAAATACTCTGTATAGATCTACATGCTGCTTTTCTCTTCTCATCATATCTGTTTGTCCTTAATTATTGTTTTGATATAGGTGTTGAACTTTTTTCTGGTTTGTTGATGGACTTTGTTGTTTAGGTTTGAACTTTTTTGGTTTGTTGTTTTTGGTTCTTCTCGTAGCATCACATTTGAACCGTGTTACGGCCATTTCAATTATTAGTTATTTCTTACGCTCTTTGAATTAGATTTGGCAAAAGTATGCACAACTTGTAAAACGACAATAACACAAGAAAAATTCCGTGTTCTCGTCAAGCCCTTTGAATTAGATTTGGCAAAAGTATGCACAACTTGTAAAGCGACAATAACACATGAAAAATTCAGTGTTATCGTTGAGCACTAATGAGTGTATTCATTTGTGAATTGTTAAAAATGGGTATTTTTGTGTTACCTCATTAAACTCGTTGCTGATTAGTTAGGAAACTAAATAGTTTTATGTTATGTTTTTTCCTAGACTATTGATCATTTGTAAAATGCATTTTGTTTAATTAATTTATTTATTTTTAAACAAGTGGTTAATGGGTATCCAGTATTTACTATAATTAGATTTCTTAACCAAACTTATGTTACACGCTATTTTTGAAGGTTGTGCCAGGGTTGGATTTTCCACCAATTAGCTTAGGGATTCGGATCCTCTGCTTGTTTTTTCTTTGCCATGATCTGCTTGACTTTTATTTTAAGTATGACATCTCATCTAAAATATATCAACAAGTAGAGGATCTGAATCCACTAGCTTAGGGGGTCGTGTTGGGGTCGATTTAATTTTCACATAATGTGATATAAACCCGCAAAAACACAACCGATTGACATGTCGACTTTCAAACTTTGTAAAAGTTCTCTAACAAACTTCATTAAACTCTACATAATTCAATCGAAGTGTTATGAATTGGAATAAAAATTCATGAAATCACCAAGACCCTTTCAATTTTATTAAAAATTCATGCAATATATTTAAGCTTTCAATATTGATTTCTTAAAAATTATATCAAATTTTAGAGTGTCAAATAGCACATATTTTGAGCACGTAGGGAGTTATATTTTGCCATGCCAACCAAACAACACACTAGCTAAAGTTGAACCCCGATGACAACATTTCTAGCTCCATCACTAGTTGTAAAAATAGCTTTGTACAAATCCTATTCTTTTTCAAGATTTTTTTTTTGAATTTATTGTAATGATGCTTAAAACTTGCTTATTCATCATGCTCTTCTCTTAATACATGAAGTTGCCTCAAGGATGTTGCATGGAAAATACTATGAATCAATATATACCTTAAGTTTTTGTGTTTACTATTTTGTTGAAATTTGTTAAAAAAAAAGTTCCATTTCGTTTATGATTCATACTATGCATTTAAATTCGATATATCGCATATCGATTTTTCTCTTTCATTTCCCCCCCAAGAAGGACATGTGAATTTTTTTTTCTTCCCTATATATATATTAATGTCAAATCCACTTCCATATTGCCCCAGGACTTCCTGTTTTAAACCCATTTAGTTAGCTTTTGTAGAAACCTTTTCATGTTTCTTGATGTTCTTTCTCTTTTGGGTTTCTATTTGTAACGTTTGACATTAAAACGTGTAACGTGTCTTAAGTCATTTTCTATAATCTCACGTCTCACCTCTCCACACATCATCCTCCAAACCAATATCCTTAAACATAAAGTTACCCTTGACTTTAATTTATATATATATAAATTTTTTTTTTTTAATTGACTTGCTCAATTATTACATCACTAATGATTAGGTCGTGTACATAGATCTCCAATTTGCTGGGGAATCTACACAGAAGACAATGGCTCCAATGGTTTGAAGTAGACAAATTTTGTTTGGTAAAATTCAACTGGATGATGCTTGCCAATTATGCGGTGTTGGGCAACCCAGAAATGCATTAAAAATTAATGACTTTCAAAGTTTGGCAAAATTTTGTTTAAGCAAGTTCTTAATTTGGGTTGTCTAGTTCATCGATGACGCGGTCAGCTAATTCTTAGATGTGTGTCAAATTTTTTATAATCCCTTTGGAACACCAGAAAGATGGGACACTATGAAATCAGGTTGTTTGGCCCAAGGAAGGAAATGTGTTAGTTTGAGTTTAAGATACTTCAACTTGACGTAAAAACTTGTGATGGAGTTGAAGGTTGCCTCTAAGACTGGACATTGAAGGTTTCACAAGTTCTTCCTACTGCCGCCAACCTTATCATTTGCATTCAAAGTCTCCCTTTCCATCTTCTATATTGCAACATAAAACTTACCTAATTGACCCATCTCAATCTCTCTCTCTCTCTCTCTGGTCAGATTGTTTGAAGGCTAAAGCTATGGAGGGAAAAGTACATGACTTTCTACATGGAACACTTGAAGCTACCATTTTCCATGCCACGCCCTACACACCACCACCTTTCCCCTTCAATGTAAGTACTAATTGAGATTATGGCATTAGCCAAATTTGATTTTGTAGGTTATTTTGATTGTTGTCTTATAGATTTTGGTTTTTGTTGGAACGAAAACTTGTGTGGAAATTCTGTTCTGCAGTGTATTTTTGGAACTGGGAAGCCTGCATATGTGACCATCAAGATAGACAACAAGAAAGTAGCAAGGACAACCCATGAACGCGACCGTGTTTGGAACCAAACCTTTCGAATCCTCTGTGCTCATCCGTCTGATTCGACGATTACCATTACCATGAAAACGAAATGTTCCATCTTGGGAAAATTTCAAATGCAGGCACATGAGATACTGAATGAAGCAAGTTTTGTCAACAGTTTCCTCCCTCTGGTGATCGAAAATGGGAAGCCAAATCCAGAGCTCAAGCTCCGGTTCATGTTATGGTTTAAGCCGGCTCAATTTGAACCAACTTGGGGACAGATGACTGCTGATAATGGTCAATTCCAGGGGATAAGGAATGCAACATTTCCACAAAGATCCAATAGTCATGTCACGCTTTATCAGGATGCTCATCATTGCTCAACTTTCAAGCCTTCTTCGGAGCTTTGTGGGACTCCAAGAAGACTATGGGAGGATGTGTACAAAGCCATTGAGGGGGCAAAGAATTTGATTTACATTGCAGGCTGGTCTTTCAATCCTAAGATGGTTCTGGTAAATAGAAGTGCAACACAATTTCCTAGCTACAAATTAATACTCCTAATTTTGTTTTTGGAACTTAATATGCTCTTAAGCAGGTTAGGGATCCTCAAACAGACATCCCGCATGCGCGTGGAGTGAAGCTCGGTGAATTACTAAAGCAGAAGGCTGAGGAAGGTGTGGCAGTGAGAATAATGCTTTGGGATGATGAAACATCCTTGCCAATTATCAAGAACAAAGGAATAATGAGAACTCATGATGAAGATGCATTTTACTACTTTGCACACACCGAAGTAGTATGCAGATTGTGCCCTAGATTGCACAAGAAGTTTCCCACAATCTTCTCCCACCATCAGAAAACCATAACTGTGGACACCAAATCCAGCACCAGTGCAAGTGACAGAGAAATTATGACCTTCATTGGGGGCCTAGATCTTTGTGATGGGCGCTATGACACAGAGCAACATTCATTATTTCATACACTCAACACAGAATCTCACTGTTCTGATTTCTACCAGACCAACATTTCTGGGGCTAGCCTACAGAAAGGAGGGCCAAGAACTCCGTGGCATGATGCTCACGCTTGTGTAACCGGTGAGGCTGCTTGGGATGTACTAACGAATTTCGAGCAGCGGTGGGCTAAGCAATGTGATCCTTCTGTCTTGGTCCCTTCAAGCACCTTAACTAGTCTCATTCAGCAGACTTATGCAAGCAAACCAACATCTGAGAGGGGTTGGAATGTCCAAGTTCTTAGATCAATAGACCATGTTTCAGCAAGCCAACTGTTTCGAAACTTAACCGTGGAGCAAAGCATCCATGAAGCTTATGTCGAGGCAATCAGGCGTGCCGATAAGTTTCTGTACATTGAGAACCAGTATTTCATTGGAGGGTGCCGTTTGTGGGAGAAAGATCAGAACTGTGGTTGCAGAAATTTGATCCCCATTGAGATTGCTCTCAAAGTGGTCAATAAGATAAAAGCAAAGGAGAGATTTGCAGTGTACATAGTGATACCGATGTGGCCAGAAGGCTTACCTGAGAGTGAATCTGTTCAAGACATACTTCATTGGACCAGAGAGACAATGTCAATGATGTATAGGTTGATTGGAGAAGCCATAAAAGAAAGTGGGGTTGAAGGGCACCCTAGAGACTATTTGAACTTCTATTGCCTTGCCAACAGAGAAGTAGAGAGCCAAGGAGATTTTATTCCTCCACGTTCTCCTCACCCAGCAACACAGTACTGGAATGCACAGAAGCATAGGAGGTTCATGGTGTATGTCCACTCCAAGCTCATGATAGGTATGCATGTAGATCTTAATAATTGTTTAACAATAAACTTACTTTTACTGTATTTATGAGCTAGCCGCATATCTTACATAAGTGAAATATACTTTCCTAGATAAATTTCGCCCTCTTATTTATGTGAGAAATATGGTCGATAATGTGATCAATAAATATAGTACATGTATCGTTATTTGTTACTTATTATTTAGTTTGGATTCTCGTTTTTCGGCAATTAAAGTAGAGTAATGCTAAAAGGAGAACATTGCTGTACATTTAAACATGAGATCTAGATGGTTTTATTATTAAAGTAACTTCTCATTCTTTTTGGCGCCTACTTTGTTTTAGTGGACGATGCATACCTTATCATAGGATCTGCAAACATAAACCAAAGATCGATGGACGGTCATCGAGACACCGAGATCGCAATAGGATGCTACCAGTCGAAAAATGGTGACGACAAGACGATGATGAGCGCAGGAGGGGACATTGAAGCATACCGGATGTCATTATGGTATGAACACACTGGCCGTGCCGAAGAATTGTTCAAGCAGCCCGAAAGCTTAGAATGCGTGCAAACGGTGCGTTTAATAGGAGATCAAATGTGGAAAACCTACAGTGGTGAAGAAGTGGTCGACATGGAAGGTGTTCACCTTGTGACATACCCCACGAATGTAACAGCGGAAGGTCATGTTGAAGATCTTGTGGAGGGTAGTGGTGGTCTTTTTCCAGATACGAAGTCTCTGGTGAAGGGCAAGAGATCAAAAGTGATACCACCAATGTTTACTACCTAGTTTTTTTTTTTTTTTTTTTTTTTTTTTTTTTTTTTTTGGGGCGAGAAATAAGAATTCCATTACATAAACATGGAAAATTACTACCTAGTTAATTAGTCATTTTTTGACTAATTATTAATGTTACTCTGACTTGATATATTTGAATATTAGCTATTTTTTATTTTACAGAAAATAAGAAAAAACATTATTCACTGTTTTCATTTGACAAATTTAGTTGAGTGAATGGATCGATCCTCGATGTAAAGATTAAAGAATTTATTTATTTTTCAATAATTGTTGCTTCTGCTCTCCCCACATCCTCAGAATAATTGTGGGGATTTTTTCTTTTTCTTTTTCGGGTTCAGAAGCATTATAAATTATTAGTAGAGAGGATAGAGAGCATACAAAATTGCTGAGTCATGAATAGGCCATATGATCCATATCCACTACGCCAGCTTGGCCACAATGGGAAATTGCAAATCTGCGACGCAACCCAAAAGCAATGCTCTTTAGTTTTTGGGTTAATAATTGTAACCTCTAATTAGTATGTGGGGCCTTCTAAAGCTTTAGCACTTACGTACAATAATTAAAAGATATGATGTGATTGTAAAGGATCAACGAGTGTAATGATTTGGAATATTTACTCTTTCAGGTAAGGTTTTGGGTTCGAATTCTAATATTCGTGTAATGTATGTGAATTTAATATACGCCGCTCTCAATCACACACATGTACTTAAAAGTTTAGATAATCAAATATACTTTCTCACTATAGTATGACAAATTATAGTTTCGTGTTTATTTCATAATTGTTCATTCTCTATCGACTGCTCTATTTCATAAATTTTCTTATTACAAATAATTATATTGACTTTCTTTTTTTTAATGAAATTACGTCATATTAAACCAAACTATTAATGATTGAAGAATTAATTAATTCGACTGGTTTTTGGAACAACAAATAATGTGATATTTGTTTTTATTTTTCATATAAACTAGAATTTATTTAAGATTAATATAAATAAGTTCAGTTGAAAAAAAGAAGTAAATTCCCTTCTTTTCAGATTTCTGAAGTTAGCGGTAAACTCAACTCTCTCTTGCGCGCTCTCTCTCTCTCTCTCTCTCTCTCTCTCTCTCTCTGTTTCTGTGTGCAGAAGCCTTCGAGAGCAAATTGAGATTTGATTTGGTCCAAACGCTGATGACGAGCAATGAGAGACCTAGATTGTTTCTCCGTGATCTTCTATTTCGTATAGAGAATTCTGCGTATATGGTATTCTTTCTCTCTCTAATAATTTGTGTTTGTTTGGTTGCCGAGAAAAGTAAAGAGAAAATTTGACTGAATAACTGTGTTGATTTGAATAATTAAAGGAGAGTTCGAGCTCGCTGATGCTAGGCGAGAAGCTGTGCGCGGTGTTCAAACCACTGATTGCCCTCGTTGAGGCTTTCATCTTCAGCTTAGTTGGTTGCTTCGGTCGACAACGGCCTCATCAGCGCCTCTCCTACACTTACGACGAAATCGTTCGCCTTGCTGCCAGCTCTCCATGTTTGTCTACTAATTCCTCCTTCATTCATAAATAAAAATGTGTTTTTTTTCGGGTTCAATTATTTTTTTTTTTGACTTGTCACTCTCAGTTACTGTAAATGAGGTGGAAGCGTTGCGCGAATTGTTCAACCAGTTGAGTAGTTCGATTCTTGATGATGGCTTAATTCACAAGGTTAATCAATTTATGCACGTGTTTGTATTGGGGCCCTCGTTTATTTCATTTTAAAATATTTTTAATCTCTTTGACATGGATCATGAAATTTATTTCTTTTCTTCTGGGTTATTTATTTATGTTTCCCTCTATTTATTAACTTCATTTTAATTTCTCATTTCCAGGAGGAGCTCAGGTTGGCGCTATTCAAAACTCCAGCAGGTGAAAATCTTTTCCTGGATAGGGTGAGTTCATTGAGACAATTTTTTTATTTTTTATTTATTCCGATGATGAAAGAGTAAATCTCTCTCTCTCTCTCTCTCTCTCTCTCTCTCTCTCTCTTTGATATGATATGATAATTCAGTTCATCTTGACTGCTTGAATGGGATTCAGGAAATTAGGATTGCCAATGTGTAATGTGACTCTGAGCCATCTAGTTTAGATTAATCTGTTCTATTACATTGGTGACTATATATGGAACATGAATCTGAACCAACATATTAATCTGTTTTTTCTTCCAATCTATGACGAAATGGAATCTAGGTGTTTGATGTTTTCGACGAAAAGAAAAATGGCGTGATTGAATTTGAGGGGTTTGTCCATGCGCTTAGTGTTTTTCATCCATGTGCACCTCTTGAAGACAAGATTGATTGTAAGAATTCTACAATCCAACTTCAGCTGCTTAAAGTTTGGAGGCATTTCATGTTAAAGGACTTTTTTCTTCTTCTCTCTTTTGGGTTTTTTGCAGTCGCATTTAGGTTGTATGATTTGAGACAAAGTGGATATATTGAGCGGGAAGAAGTAAGTATCTTGGTGTGTTGCAGACTATGAGCAGGTTCTTGCCTGAATGCTTTAATCATTGAAAACAACAGTAATAAAAAAGAAGGGAAAAAACACCAAAATTAGAACACTAGGAAGGCAGTTGGGAAGATGCAATGTCTTCACTTTGATTCATTGTAATTTTTCAAACGATTATTTCTTCTGTTGTATTACTTCTAAGTAACAGCTGTGGTTGCTTTCAGGTCAGGCAAATGGTAGTTGCCACTTTGTTGGAATCTGGCATACATGTGCCAGATGAAACTCTTGAAGCTATCGTCAATAAGGCAAGAATTACCGATGCTAAAACTTCTGTATGTTTCCCTTATTCCGAAGTTTTGTACTCTCAAAGTTCTCTTTCGTTGCACAGACATTTGCAGATGCTGATTCTGACAAGGATGATAAAATTAGCAAAGACGAATGGAAAGTTTTTGCTCTTCAGCACCCAACACTTCTAAAGAACATGACGCTTCCACATTTAAAGTACTTGCTTACTGCTTTTAATTCTTCTTAGGTTTTACCATTGCTTCCAATGATCAATCAGTAATCTTCCTCTTCCATTCCTCTGCTTTCAAGTAAACTTCTCTCATTTGATATCTGTTCTAAGAGTTGTTTATAAATAATTTTAAAAAAAAATGAAAGTAGTTTCCTAAGATTTCCTTTCTATTTTTCAATGCTTCTATCAACCTATTATTTAGTGTCATGATTGAATCTCTCTCTCTTCCTCTCTAAATCTATTCTAATTATGTTGTCGACTTGCCAGGGACATCACGACAGTCTTCCCGAGCTTTATTTTCAACACCGAAGTCGAAGACTAATGTCGGCAATGCTATTCCTAAAGTAAGCTTGGATGCTGAGGCAAAGGTTAGATGATATGGTGCGTTGTGGGATTTTCTGGGTTGTGATTTTTACTGCCTTGAAGGTTCCCTCACTTCAACTGGCTTGGGATTGAGAAAGTGAAAAGCAACCTCAACCTCAACCTCATCAAGAACCTCGTTTGGAAACGGCAGCACACCACATCCCTTTCCATCATCAAAATCAGTTTCAATTCCTCGGCCGGAACTTTGCAGTGTCCTGAAAATTAGATCTGGCTGGTCCAGACTGGTCAAATTAAGTTCACCAAGAACAAGAACCAATAATTTATGTATAGTAATTGAAAAGAACATTTGACCCAAATAAATAAATAAATAAAAGTAATTGAAAAAAGCATAAATTATTTAGTGAGTACGAAAGTCACATTTTAATAATTTTTATCCATTCTTTTATTTGCACTTTCAAATGAAGCAAAAAGAGATGAGAATCCTTTCTCTTCAAGTTTGAATGCCGCTGGGCACATCTCAACTGTGAAGGGGATGGTCTAACCTTATAAATTAATTTAAGACTCGAAAAATGAGAAATGAGAAGCAAATACTGATGATACACAAGAAAACCAGTGGGTCCTTGGTGAATTTGCAATGGAAGACAATTAAAAAGATTGTGAACATTATATGAGATGAATACATGTGAGAAAAATAGCACTTGCCATCATTTTATTGTTTTGCAGCAAAATGCAAGGGTGCCTCAATACTCCAACACCACAATGTGCTCGTTGACAGCAATTTGAAATTACTGATTCTATACAAGCCCTAAAACTTCAAAATTGAGCATGAAAATATGATGCCCGGAAAACGGCCAATTCAATCTCCTATTCAACAAGTGACAATACAAGCCCTAAAACTTCAAAATTGAGTATGAAAATACGATGCCTGAAATACGGCCAATTCAATCTCCTATTCGACCAGTACAGTAAGAGGAAGGTGAAATCCATATTCACAAGCTGCAACAAGAGACATTATTCCTTTATTTGTCTATTGTTGAAAAATCAGTTGAATGAAATTTTTTTTTCTTCAAAAGAAGCTTAACATCCTACGAATTACCTTGACTCATGTAAATGAGATGGCAACATACCCTCACTAGCGGAAATGACAAACTGCAGGATACATCCTTGACAAACCACTTCTTCACCTGCTAAAATTGAGATAGATCTACAGGTTGGGATTTGCGTTGCAGGTAACTTAAACCTCCAACAAAATTAATAGGTTGCATAGACTCTGCTATAATCACCAATTTCAACAATTGGGTAAAGATATTTTCTTCCACCAATCTCCAAGTCAAATAAACCTCTCGTATAAATCACATTTGCTTCTATACTCACTTCAAATATGTGAGACAAACCTGATTTCTCACTTGACAATCCGCAACAACTATCCTTTCACCTGCAGCAAAAGAATAATGATAAATTAGGTGAAAACAGTAATTAACATACAAGTAAGTTGTGTAACTAATGTGATAAACCATCAATTGAAGATAACTAATGATAATGTGATACAGACCAAAAACACAAGAAATCATCAACTTCAGTGTAAACCAAGATAAGCATGCATAATCAACTGATCATAATTCATCTTAAAGGAGAGGTTAAAGCAGTCTACAAAAAGCAAACAGCAATGAAGAAATCAGCAACTTAATAATAATTTCAATAGAAGTTGCAAAATCCAGTCAAACTCTATCTTAGTTCCTACTAGACCATACAAGTAACATACTTAGCTACAATTTCTTGATCAAACATTATTACTTTTGTTTTAAAGGTTATCCTCGACAAAACAATCCATCTGAGCCAATGGACTGGGTCTGTCTATATTCAGAAAGCACTTTCTCTCACTTATTGATTATCTGATGTTGGGAGGCACAGGCCATCTTAAGTTTTCTCATTCAGCAATCTCATTCGACAAACAAAGACTATGCTCATGTGGCTGCATGTAGAAACAAATTTATCAAATCTTTTCCTATCTTTGATGTCCAGCTCCAAGCTATGAGATCGATCATCATTGCAGTATAGAGACTATAGCTTCATACTAAATTTCTGTAGCCAGCAATTGTATCTCCAAGAGACTTGCCCCATTGTCTGATAACTTCAGAAACATCAGTTCCTACAACTATGATAGCTTAATGAAGACCATCTAATTGAATAACCAAAGGACTGCCATATACATCATCCAGGCAAAGATATATCCTCCATCTCCAAACTCAAACTAAATTCTTCAGTATGAGGTGGGCCCATAGGCTGCTCCAATCCACCAAGAAAAATACTCCATTTCCATCCTGACCAGACTCAGTTTTATTAGTTTGCATAAGCATCTCTATATGGTAAGCGGTAACAAGTCCTTTCAAGAGAGTAGAAGCAAGATCTCACCTCATCCTTGAGATGTTTCAGCAACTTTTCCAACGCAAGTTATTCCAGGAAATCAAACAGTAGAAATTTTAAGATGACCCGCTAAAGGTTTTTTTCTTATGGAAACAATCAACTAGAGAGGTTTATCTATGGGTACAATCTGAAACTAAATATCCTATAAGCCTTAAAAAAACAAGATCAGGAAGAAAGCTCGGCATTATAATGGAATACTAATTCACTAAATGGTGTACAGTAAATTAGTTGAAGGCAGTGTTAAAATCAAGATGAAAGAAACAAATTAGTTCTAAATAAAACCAAAATAACCAGAAGTCAAGGATATTAAAGAGGAAGCATGCAAGACAGAAATCAGCTACTATTTCTAGCTAGGGAAAAACAAAGAAGATTCCATGCCCATGAAACCCATAATAATGAGACAGGATACTTGCCTATAAGTTCAAATCAGTAGCTGGCCTCTTGTCAAATGGCATGCCACCGTCCTTTCTTGAGATATTCCAGGGTCATTTCAAAGCATGGAGCAACTTGTCATATTGTGGGGGTGGCTAGAAATATCTTGATGAAGGAAGTTGCAGATTCACAGCTCAAAATGAAGAACAAGAAACGACTCACGAAGACATGAGAAGCAGTGAATTGCATTACTGACAAATCCCCGCGTTTTTCAAACTATGCTGGATAGCTACAAGAACATTCCTAGTCCGTGAACTTCCATCCCCTTTTATCTGAATATAATCTATCTTACCTCCACCCTGCCATCACGTCCATTATAAAGCAAAATCCTACCAATCCTCATATTGGAGAAGAAGCACACACTTTACAATTCACTTTCAATAAACAAGTTCAAAAGAGGAATATAAAGCTTCAACTTGGCTATTTGGAGAAAGTTCCACCTCTGATAGACTAAATGCCTCAGGCTAAAATAACAACTCCCGATTATCCCACTCAACCACACTCCTGAAATTGGATTATAGATAACCACTGGAGAAGTCTAACTTGGCTATTTAGAGCATAAGGAGTAACACTGGAGATACATTACCCTCTCAATATAAAACAGATTCAACCAATCCCCAGGAAACTTGAAATTATACAAACAACCCTTTGGTACACACTCCATAGGTTAAAACTTAATACATCATAAAGGGTCCCATGCACTGCAGATAAATATTAAGAACAAAAACAACAGATACAACCCATAGTGCTGAACTACTTCAGTCAAGGTCTAAGCTGGCAACATTTCCACAATCCATTCTTCTAATGCCAGCCAACAGTTCGTCCATGCTTGGAAAGAAAGTTTTGGTGCTTATCCAAAGACCACTTATCCAGACCAGCCACAAAAATAAGAAGCTGTGGCAGATAGAAAACCATATGGAATCCCATCAAAGATGACTCCTAGTCAAATAACCTACCAATAGAGAGAAAAAAGGCCTGCAACTTACTTCCAGAGCATTACAACTTCCTAGGCCCTAGCTACAAACCTAAAAGAATATCACAACTTCCAGTTATGCAAATACTTTCATGTATGCAATTTTCTAAACCCAATAACATCCTATTCTAGGAAGCTCCACTTACATCCTCAAACTTCCAATATTCAAGAAAAGCTACTTGTTAGCTAGTCTCAACAATATGGAAATCAGAATTCATATCACAGTATATTTCATCACAGCAACAAGAAATCTTGTAATTTTGTGAAACGAAATGGCCATCCTAACTCCTAATCTCCATATAAGCATAAAATCCTCACATGGATAAAATGATGCATAAGAAATGGCAGGTCCACCTCCAACAATATCCAGAAACCAAAACCACCATCAGGGAATTTCCAAGAAAAGGACCCACATCCCCAACAAATTGAACACCATATATCAATATATCCTCCAACACATAATGTTCATAAATCATGAAACAACAACTTGATTCCAACAATTGCATCGTTTACAGAAATGCAGATTGCATTAAGTTCATGCAATCGACCATGATCACATAGCTTCCCTTCAATTCCATATCACACATGCTCCAGCCTCCCCACAAGTTAGAGAAATACGGGTTCATCTCGATAGATATAAGAAAATGCCAAGTTCATAAATGGAAACTAAGTTACCGTACCATTCTAAAGTTTGCTTCTACCCACCATGAAAAGAAAAGGAAAAATATAATCAAGAGTTTCCAAATAAAAACAATCCTCATTATAGGTTACATGGTCAAATGACCAACATAAGATATAACTGATGCAAATTAGAGACAGAAAATTCCAAAACATCATACTACCATCACAGACATGGGAATTAATGTCTAGCAATCAAGAAAAGCGATATTAAAATCCTATATACATAAGTTTAAGATGACTAACGATGTATTCAGAAAAATAAATGGCTACTGATCTGGCGTGCACACATAGATGACTTGACCATCTATGCTGATGATGAGCAACCAAAGGTGGCATGTATACTCCGTCATTGAAATCATAATCATCCAGATTTCAACGACGAGTCATGCGAGGCTTTTCAGGTCCTCCCCATGAAGCTGGACCTGGCCTATACATAGGCCCTTTATCAGCAACACCCTAATAGATAACCATAAAGATCATTCAGAGAAAAGGGAAAAACTAATAGATAGACATTCAGAACACTTCCGAGAAAAGAGAAAATTAACATGGAAATCTATTGATTACAAGAAACAAATCAAATTTCCAATTATATAAGCAAGCATACCATGTGCATCCCATAGCCATCTCCATATGCAGGAGGAAAAGCAACCTCCGGGCTGCTGAAATTCATCCCATATTGTCCACCTTAAAAAAGAAAATGATGAGATGTGAATGAAAAGATTAAAAGAAAAGTGTAACAACATAACCCTAAACAAAACAACTCTTCTTTTTTTTCCACTGCACGACAATGGGGAAAATAAATTTAAATATTGGCATGCAAAGAAATAATAAACAGTTCATTTCTGTATTAGATAATTAAAAAAGATGAGACCACAACCCCAACTCCCAAAACTGGTTGTGGAAGATGAAATACATTTACATTTATCTATCTAACAGCCAGACAGAGCTTAAAGAATCAATAAACATGAAATCAAGTATTTCGGTAGAAGAAAGAGGTGTATAAGATCAGAATGCAGTACAAAATGTATATGTTGGGACTTGGGAAGCAAACTATAATTGTTTCACCACTATGTGAGTTTGTTTTTAAGTGTGCTTGTGTGTTACTGTGCACCTGGAAGCATGTGCGTGTGTGTATGTGAATATGTGTCTGCATGCGTGCGTCAGAGAGAGAGAAGTTTAACCAGTCTATCATACATCTACTTACATGACATCTCATCTTTTCAAAAGCCAATGAGGAGTTTCAGCACCAAATTGAAGGTTAAATAAAGGTACCAGAAGGAGGATATGAATGCCAAAAGAATACAGTCAGACAGATAAGTAATACCTGCACCCCATGGTCTACCATCTGTCCTAGCAAGATCTGCGCGTAGTTTCTCAACTTCACGAGCCATAGAAACTAGGTTCTTCTCCATTGCCTGTCTTTGTTCCATAAGCTCAATATTCGCCTTCTTCTCATAATCGATTGCATTTCTACAAAACAAAACTTGTATGTTAATATATAAGCAGTTGATCTAATACAATCTCGATAAAATTTGTACACTAAAAAGGAGCTTCAAGACAAGAAAATGATGACAAATAAGCAGCGGGTACATACCTAGCATGCATAAGCTCCTGGTGCAGACCATCAATGTCAGCCCTTAGTAGAGGAATCTGTTGATTATCCGATTGCAACCTCGCAACGTCCTGTGTGAGGGTCTGAACTTGAGTGGAAAGTTCCTTCCTAACATTATTCAGCTTCTGAACTTCAGAACGAAGTTGTTTAGCCTCATTTTTCAAGGGCTCAGTGGCCCGAAGATCAGCCTCCAATTTCCTGCCTTTCTCAAAGAGCTCCCTTGATTGCAATTCTTCTTCGGCACGGATATCTGAAAAGGCAACATTCATCCTATGAATTTCCTCCTTGGCAGCACCAAGCTCACGCTGCAATGTCATTCGGTCCTCAACCAGCCTCTGGTTATCAGCCAAGAGTCTTCGAATTTCAGCATGTTGCATTTCAAGTTCTTCCTCCAACACTGCAGGATGAGGAAGTGGTCGCATTGGAGGACCTCGACCAAAAGGTCCTTCAAGAGGGTAACCACGCCGGTCATTCATCGCTTCACGTGGAACACGATGTCTCCCTGCCATTGGAAGGTATCCTGAAAACCACCCACAAAACCGTAGGAAAGATAACCTCTACAGAAAAGGGGAAAGAGAATGAGTATGTTAGCGACAAATCTGAAATTTACTTTAAATAATGCTCTAAAGTAACATTATCCCTTGCAAATGGAAGCTTGTGCAAAATGTTTTAGTTTTTTTTCTAATAAAAAAATTAAACATGGAAGTGCTTGTACAAGCTGAAATTAAATCAATTATACAGCTTTGGCGGTGCTTCTTATTTTCTTTATTCTTTTCTAGATAATCACACAATTGGTCGGTCAATGTGAACCATATACAAACCAACTTTTCTTCAACTAATTAAGCCACTCATATCTGATTAGTCCTTATGCGTCAGTTTGGATTCCGAGAAAGTGAAGGAAATTGAAGACAAAACTACGTTTTGAAAATTTCAAGCTTCTCATTACTTCAGACCCAGAAATACCAACATGCATACCGATATCTTAATAATAATTCGAATTCTCAAGGCAAAACAAAACGTACTTTTCTCAGTTCCCTCTCCGTTCTGACGATAATTTATCACAGAAATAATTAAAAGCAATTCAAATAAGATCCTAATTTCAATTCTCTTTCATTCTTTAGAATTAAACATCCATAAACAACAACTGTTTTCTCTGAAAACAATAGCATAAAAGGCAAACTAGAATCCGCACCTTCTGTTTGATCGAAATTCTGAACGATGAAAACCTCTATGCGCTCTGCGTTAGAGGTCCTGAGATGATTTTGGTCAGAAAATTCATAGCTAGTTTTCTCAAGGCTTTGATTTTGCCCATCAGGCCATTTAACACTGTTCCGAACGACGTCGTACTTTGGGCTACCGGCCCATTAAATTAGGTCGGCTCCACATCGTAGAAGCCCATTGACAAATTAAGCCTGGCTTTCTTCTGGCCCAAGATAGTAATCTAGAAGCGAAAGATTGTGTTCGTTTTTGCTTTTCTTCTCTTGGTTGGAGCTATTTTTGTTCCTTCAGTGGAAAAGGGTAAGTTAGGAGGAAAAAAAAGACACGGGCCTAACCAAAATTGGCTAGAATGAATGTGCTTCCTACTCTGTACTCGAGTTTGAATCCTCCATTCCTATCTATAAAAAGAAAGCCTTAAAGAATGCATCCTCTAAGAGCATCTCCAACCGATGTGTCAAAAGTGCCACATAGACCTTTAACAGCTAGAAATAACATCTCACATCACTCCAACCGATGTGTCAAAGCTGATGTGGAATGAAGGCTGGAGGTTGAGATGTTATTTTTGACATCTCAAAAGTAAGATGTCAAATGAATATTTTATTATTTTTTCTTTTCTTTTCTTTTTAATTAAAAATAAATCAACACTAAAATGTAATAATTTAATAATTTAATTTGACATATCGGGTGAAGTGTAAAGCTGTGTAAGATGTCAAATAGCCACATCAGCCATCAAATTTAAATTTGATGTTTGGTATTTGACATCTCCCTTGGAGATGCTCTAAACTACAAGGTAGCAACTGAATAGGATGCAATCCTGAAAATATGTTTGATCTGCTCCCTCATGAAAATGCTGAATTCCATGGCTTCATTCATTATGAAGAAAACTGTTATTGTATTTTTGTTGAATTTTCGTGAGAATTGGAAAACATTAAACTAGTAGGATGAGTAGTTTTGAATTACAACCATCATCACTGTTGTTTTTCCTGCTCTTTCTACATGATCAATAAAGCAACCCTAGATCTTGCAAATCAGGCTAGGCACAGTAAGCTATATTTTCTCTTTCTTCTGCAGATTTTTCTGTCCAGATGGTTAGACCATATCCATTCTTTACACACGCAAGTTTGTGATGGGGGGAGATGGGTTTGCATAAGTTATAGGATATTGCAGTGAACCAAAGAGTGTTCCATTACCCAAAAGGATGAGCATTCACTTTTCTCATATGTTTGGTGGTACGATTCATCTGCAAAACAAAAATTGAAGCTTCACAAAGAAAAGGTGTTGATTCTAAGAATGTAGAATAGTTTTGTGAAATTCAGTGTAATTTTGTATTTTTTTTAAAGAGACAAAGTGCTGTTGATATGTATAATAGGTCGTGACAAGCATGATGAGTGGTGATAAAGATAATCAAGGGGATTTAACACAAGTATACATGTTTGTGAAAGGTGACTTAGGGCCCTTTTTATGAACTTATTTTATATAATTTTTCTCTTAAACATACGTAAGTAATGACGAACTTGAATTCTAGATGGTGATTAAAGGTAAGTATAAATATTTCTTTGCGTCCGATTCTCTTGTAATTTTCTTTTTTCACATAAAAAAATATTTCTTTGTGTCAGTGTAGAAATGGAGGGAGAAAGACTTTTTCTCATAGTGAAAAATCATCAATGACTTCACAAGATATGGCTTTAGTATGTCTATGATATAGACTTCCATTACATTCATGATGGGTAAGAACAACTACATACAATACAACACAAACACAACTCAAATTGATTCAAAACTATGTTTTAAAAAATTTCAACCTTGATGGGATTGCTACCAATAAAAGAAAGTGAGTGTCAATAGATTATACATAGAACTTTGGTAGGTATGAAAAAAAAAAAAAAAAAAGGAACAAGTGAAAAACCAAGGGATTTAATTAGGGGGCCCACAAAAATGATATACTTGTCTATTTCTTGGTCGGATAATTGTATTGTCTATATGTGCAATAAACTATCAAATAAGACAAAATGAGCCAGATGCACCACACGTGTGCACTGGGGCTAAAAACACTTTTCTTTGTTGTCTTTTCATGTCCTGGTTGTTTTGTATCATCTGTGTGCAAATTACCTAAACTTTCTGGCCAAATTTGAGGCTGGCTCTAGTGGTCCCCTTTCCTTTGGACCCTTATTGGCATCCTCCTCTTCATTCTTACTGTGGGAAAGTTAACAATCGTGTCCTCCTCAGCCACCCACCTGCATGTAAAAGAAGCCAACTTAGTACTCAAATTTCTGGTGGAATATTTGTGCAAAGTGAAAAAACAAAAAAGTAGTCAAGGTTTTAGACTAACATCAAGTGGATCTTTTGCTTCTGCAAGCCTATCAAAATCAGAACCTTGATGCAGTGGTTTTCTATTAAAATTATCCAGAATGCTATCTGTCTATCTAGCCCTATTGACCATTTGTTTAATCTTCACTTTCTTGGTTGTTGATAATAATCAGCTAAAGGAAGGTGTTTGATTTGATTTGGTATAGAATTCTTGCAAAATCCAATGGCAATGAAGATGTTTGATAAATAATTAGACAAATTTCATGCAGTTCTGAGCCTGCTAAGAACAAGGATTTAGAACTACAGTATGTATGAAATTGATGAATTTGATAAGTTATGCACGGGGAGTGGAGAGGTGACCTAAAATTGAGTGATTCAAAATCAGCCAGTCTGGTGATTCACATGTGTACTAATATATAGTTGGGTTAGGTCTAGGGAACACCATTTGTTCCCTCAGAATTTGGGTATCTGCCACTCCGTCTGATATCATATTACACATCATTTATATAAGGTACTTCTTCTAATACTTGAGTTAAGTCCAAAATGATCTATTTCATGAAGATTTTGTTTTTTTGGCCTTCTCTTTGCTCACACATGGAAACCCATCTGGGTAAATTGGTGGAGCCAATCAAAGCAGGCTTGGAAGAATCTTAAGTCACCGATCATATATTTTTCTCATATGCACACTATGTATTTTCTATTACCCCTCCTTACTTTCCTATCTATTTACAATGTCGTTCGCACGGTAATAACGTGCGGACGTCGACATAGGAGAATAACTATATATATGTGTGTATATATAGCAATTAGCAATAGTAACAGAGCATGGTTGGAAGTAAGTACGAAAAAAGGTGCATGTCTTGTAAAAGCTATTGATCAGTGAAAACGCCAGAAAGTTTGATGTGTGCTATTTTGTTGTCTTTGCTCCTACGGAAAAAAAAGGAGGAATAAAAGCAGGACAACTTTTAAAAGGAACTTTGTTCAATTTCTCCTAAAAAGCATAAAATGTTTGCTGGCTGATGAAATCCCATAAAGTTATATACATGCAAGTCAACAGCAATAAAGGAGCAGAACAACATTCTTCTTTAATTGGCTTTGCCAAACAAAAAAAGAACAAAACCAGAGAGAGAGAAAAAGTTTCATTAATTGATGTGCAAAGCTTTCTGGTCAAATGCTTGTCATGAAAATGGAACTATCATGAAGGCATGTATCTGCATCCATATCCTTTTGTCTTCTCCCTAAGTTAACTTTTTTGGTTTTGCAATTTATGGGACACTATGTGAAGGACCTTTTACTGAATGTATCTGTGTGCAGTACTCTAAAGTAATTATCCATTGTTTTTTTTGTTAAATTATGGCCTGAGGGAGATCAAAATATTCATATCTATTTACCTGAATTGAGTGACAAAGTGGTGTAAAAAGATGGAGGCTTCCAGCCTAGCTAAGTCAAGCCCAGGACACAGCCTTTGTCCACCTCCAAAAGGAGTGAATTTAGAGCTGCTCATGTCTTTGTCCTGCAGAGTATACCTCCAATCCATTACTTAAAAACTAAAGAGAAAAAAAAAATCCTTTAAAAGAAACCAATTAAGATATATATATGATCATTCTTACTTGCCACCTCCATGGATTGAAGTCATAAGGCCAATCATAGTTGTTCTCATCCAGATGAACTGATCTGAAATATGTGAAGACACACCAGCCCTTTGGTATTAGATACCCTTTTATCTCAACATCTTTCATGGCCTTCCTCATCACCCCAGTGATGATGTTTCCCATCCTTAGAGTTTCTGTGATCACCTGTTTAAATTAAAAAAAAAGTATAAAGAACATACATAGATTCTTATGAGTATTAATTGTTTATTTCTGGTTCTAATTAAGCTCTGCATTTACAGTTAATTAGTATTGTATTCACTTACATTTTGTGTAAATGGTAAGGATAAGTAATCACTCCAACACAATGGCTCTCCAAGCTGATCTTTGAGTGTTTTTAACTTCATGTTCTCCTCCTGATCAGTTCATCATCAACAGTTCAAATATTAGAAAAGCCATAGGCATTAAGAAACCAACATATCAAATGATATATAAGATAACTTTTCTGTGTCATTGTGTTATTTGTTGAGGATAGAAAAACAGTGTTATCCCCGTTACAAGTAAGTTTTTATGCAGTAGAAGACTAAAACATAAATAAAAAAACTATATATGTATCTACTGTTCTTGTAATATGTCCTCCTTAATATCATGATGATGAAGACACCTTGTATATTGTGGAACCCAATCCCACTTGCCCCTAGAAACCGTATTACTTTGACAGCCACAAGTGAAAGATTGGTCTCACTAAAACGACAAGCAAAATGAAAATGGCACAGATAAAGTAGTCAAATGGTTGGACTTGAATGCCACAAAGTTCCAAAAAGTTCAAAGTCTAGAGAGAAAAAAATGAAGTGGGATTGTTTAATTAATGGTATCCATGCGGCTGATCAACCAAAATAAGTTATGGGGATTAAGTATCAATTTCTTTTTCTTTTTTTGTTATTTACCAAAATAAATAAATAAATAAATAATAAATTTGTGCACATACTGTTAACTGTTGAAGAGCAGTGGGGGAATCTGAGAGGTATTTGATTGCAAGAGTCATAAGAACTGGGACTGAATCCTCCCCTGGTATCATCATATCAATCATGTTATCTGCTACCAGATCATCTGTCAATTGCCCACTTGTGTCACTTAGCAAAACATCTACCACATCTCTGGCAACCTTGTTGGAGATGCTACTAGTCTCGTTTTTTCTAGCTTGTATAATTTTCTGTACAAGCTGGATCATTTTCTTCTTTGCCTGAAATTAAATAGGATTCAAACTATCATTACAATAGTATTATAATAAAGTACAATAAGTTGCGTTCGTTGTCAAAATGTCAATCCAAACCACATAATCAAACGAGAACCAACTTAATCAATGGTTCAGATTCATAGTATGACAATATAAGCATCTTATCTCGTAGAGTCACTTCGGAAAGGAAACATTTTCCTTATAAACTAAAAAAAGTTAAATTATTAGTTGCTGGTTAACTTGCCTGTAATGATCTGTAAAGTCTGCTTCCAGGAATGTTTATGGGTAGAGACATAAGGCCAGCAATGAATTCTTGGAACTGTTTCTTTAGGAACTCCATGTCTGCACCAGGATCCAAACTAATCAATGCCTTGACAAGTACTTGGAATGCAATCTGGAGACAAAAAGGACATCTCTTAGTAACTTTTTTTAAAAAGGACTGTAAAACATAATAATTATGAATCTAATTCTGCAGACAATATGATTGAAGCAGAATTATTATGAACTCCATTCACAACTGGTTTGTTTTCTTTCTAGAAAGTCATATTCTTCTAACCTAAGTAGGAGCCAGAGATTAAATTCAAACATCAATCATTCCTTTGATCACAAGAGAGAGACTTGTTTAACTTTAACCAAGTGCTTAATGGAGCACTTACTTTATTTTAAAACAGTTTTAAATAGAAGAGAAGAAGCCAGCGATAGATCTAAGAGAGAGGGCATCTTTGGTTTTGGTCTTCTGTCTATTGGAACTCTTCTCAAAAAGTCACCTTAAACTTAGATATGAATCAAACCATCTCAAACTTCATAGATAAAATTCTCTCCCCTAGACCTGGGAAGAAGAGAGAGAGAGAGAGAGAGAGCTAACATTTTTGGTTTCATCTTGTATGTAAATGGGACGATCATCTCTCCAATTTGCCATTGATTGCTGGACATACTTCTGCATGTCTGTGGTGATTTGAGCTTTGAGATGTGGAGACTTAAAGAAGGCTCCTATGAGTCCATGGACTCTTCTCTGCAAGGCTCCATTGATAAGCAATATAGAGGACTTTCCCATCAACTCAGTGAGAGATTTTGGGTAAGATGGTACAAAAGCCTTTGCATCACTTTGCAGAACAAACTTACTCACTTCTGCATCTGTTGATACAATTGTTGGACTTCCAAATATGTGTGACTTGAACACCTTCCCATACCTACAAAAACAACCCAAATCATAATTCTCACAAACATGCCTCTATCTTCATCATCATCAAATATACATGGGAGTTTCAAGTTTTCAGCTACCAAACCATTGGAGCTTAATGAAGTAAATCAGCTGAAACATGAAGCTGAATCATTAAAACTGAAGAATTCTTATTGGGTTTGTTGTTTGATATACAACACACAAACCCAACAAAGCGTTTTGATTCATTCAGTCTTAATCACAAGTTAATACATGGAAATTACTCATGCAGAAGCAGATTTATATAGTGTGCTCTGCTCTCTGGTTTAGATGAAAGTAATACATGTTGTATTATACATGTTAATAAGTTGCTGCTTTTACTAATTAACTTTATGTGTGTTAATGTACTTACAAGTGGCGGCGTTTGTCCATGAAGCTCTCAGGGCAGTCAGAGTAAGCACAAGACACAAACTCAATGGTTTCACCAAGAAATGGCCATCCAAGAGTGCCTAAAGGAAGTGGCCTTCTTCTGTGTTTAGATCTCAGGATCAAGTTGCTGTTGTTTCTGTAGAGAAATATAATGGACAAGATCAAAATTGCTGTTGTTGTTGTTGCTGCCAATATTAGTACAATCAGCAAATTGTCCATTTTGGAAATTTCCCCACACGAATGTATGTAGCGCTCTTTCTCTATATATAAGCTTAGCTTTAGCTTTGCAGTCTGCACCCCCTTAAATAATATTATTCTTAATCATGGTTCCAATGAGGAGATTTTGGTCACTGAAGAATGAATGTGCATGTACACAATGCACGCGTGTGGGAAGAGAGAGAGAGAGAGAGAGAATGTTTAACCAAAGAATAATTGTATCGGGAGATGCATAATCTAAGCTATAGATAGATTTGTTTGGCAGCTTATATAGGGTATAAAGTTAAAAAATTTAGCTTCCTACTTAAAGTTATCGCGGAGCAGAAGATGGTTTTTGGAGTTTTTATCTCTTGGTCACCATTTAATTATAAAAGTTAGTGATCACCAATGTCATGAATTTTCATTCATGATGGTGACCGAGAAATCAAAACTTACTTACCTAGTGTAAAACTCTTTGAAAAGCCAACTTTATAAGTTGGCTTGACCAATGAGCTCAACAGTATGGCTAACAAGTATTGATTTTATATTTATTTTAACAGTTCCACACCAGGCGGACATTTATAGCTCTGGTAGTAGAATCGCCATACCTACAACTATTTCATGCACTAAGGCAATATTAAAAAATTTCTTTAAAAAAAAAAAATTAGTGATGAAATTCAAACCTCAAACATCTTCCAATATTCGGAAGAGAAGCACTATTAAACTAAAAGTTCGGAATAATACTGCACATGTATATAATATATACTACATGTGTTCTTACCAAGTTATGATGGATTTCAGTACAAAAGAACTTTCTCTTCTGCTTTCCCTTTTTTTACTTTTTGATGATAAGTAGCAGAAAGAACTTCAAATTCTTTCATGAGCAATATGATAAGTTTGTTAAATATACAGATATATACATTGGGAGAAGCCCCCACAGGCTCATGATTGATCATCTTGCGGATTGCGAAGGCCCCCCATTGGCAGAGGCTCAGCTGGGTGGCCTCGTGCGTTCATGTGAGACTTAATTAAGTCCAACCACACTCCATCATCATCCCCTGCCCTTTTGTCCTTCTCTCTCTCTCTCTCTCTCTCTCTCTCTCTCTCTCTCTCTCCTCCAGAACTACAAGCTAGGCCAACCTCTCATGTCACATCATTCCCATCCTTTCTCATTTCATATGGTGGAGGGCTTGAGGCCACTTGTACTTTTCCCTCTCTTCACCAAAAATACTCTCCTTTATATAAATCCCTCTTCATGAAAGATCTTCAACGGCCACTTTGCCACTTATAATACCCCAATATGGTGGCGGGCTTCATCAACGACACATGTCTTTGAGGCCGAGGCCCCTACCAACATGGGCAATGTTGTCTTTTTCTTGTAATGAGTAAACATTAGTTCTTGGTTGAGCTCTTTATTTGAGGTTCCGAAGTTTGAATGCTTTTTCTGGATCCATCTCACATCGATAACCCGACCCCTACCACCTATAGGCAGGAGGAGAACACAAATTCAATCATCTCTTCCCACAAAGAATTTTTTGGGCGGGAGTTTTTCCTTCTTTTCTTTTCTAACTTGTTTCCCAACTGCATGCGGAAAAGTTTACAAATTGTTAACTTTCTTCTTTAGGTTTAGAATTTGGAGCTGAGAGAAAGAGCATTATTCTGTATCAGCATTCTTTTAGGCTTTAGCTTTTTCAAAATCTCACTTGGATTGTTTCCTAATGATATCCAAGTTCTTTATGCAGACTTGCTTTATTTCCTTGTTCAAACTACCTAACTTATGATTATCTTATTTATCTGATATTTTAATCACCTATCATCATTTTATAGGTAAGCTAAGTACTTTAGCCACATATCATCATTTGATCAAATTGTTCGGCTCTTAATCGGCTCCATTTCTTAATTTCCCACTATATCTTTCAGATTCCAAGAGAATATGTTGGATATATTTGTTTATCCATGGGGTTTAGGGATCTTTGGAGCATATATTATATACTGTGCAATAGTCTTATGTCTTTGTGCATCATGTGGGAACTCTCTCAATATGCAGTGCACATATAGGGTGTCCATGTCCTTTTTGGAAAGTGTGCATATGCTTTCGTTAGGAGACTTAAATAGTCAAAGAATATATACGGCGAGAGGGTTGTAGCTTAAGTGATTAAAATATGACAAGGTGCTTGTAACTCAGGGAATTAAGAATATTTACACCATGGTCTTGTGTTCGATTTTTCCATTTGTCATTATCGCCTCGTATAAAATAAAATAAAAAGGTGAAGAACATCCAATTCTTGCAGGTGGACACCAAATGAACATTAATCATCTTTTGTTCCAGTGGAAATGCTAGTAAGCAGCAGATAGCAGAGACAAACAATTAGAGTCATGGTATTTGTCACCATTCCAAAATTCCATAGTCAGAAAGGAATGGAAAAATATAATAAGCATACTTGACGAGGAAACTTTCTTTGGGGGTGTATTCAATTGAGATTTTAATAGATTGTTTTGAAGTTTAAAAGTCCAGTGGTATCCAATTAGGATTTTTAAGTAATCAATAAAAATATGGTGGTATTCAAATAAGATTTTTAAATAATCAATTCAAGTCTTGTGGTATTCAATTAGAACTTTTAAAAGATAAGAAAAAGTAAGGTGGTATTCAAAAACTTACCGATTTTGAGGTATTTCGTTAAATGGTGTATTGTGTAAGACTTTTGAGTGAGTGATAAAAAATCCCAACCTCCTATGTCCGTTTTTTGTTTTTGGGGAAGATGAACACATGAAGATAAACAAGGTACTCATGGCTTTACAAGGGCTTGGTTTAACCAGACTGGATCCTTATGTATTTAGTGGATAGACTCAGATAGCTAGCTATCTTTGTTTTCTTTGCTTTCTCTAGTCTATCTTGTTTTCTTTTTCTCCTGGCTGTTTGGTTGCAGGAGGTGTTTCCCGCCTTTCTTTTCGCTTCATGTCTATACTGTTTGTTTGCTTTCATCTTATGGATAATCTCTTTGCCCAATAAAAAAAGAGACTCAGATGGCTTACCTTCATATATCTAAACAATAATTTCAGATACGTTGCTTTCAATAATTGTTCATATTATGCATATGCGTGCATTTTTCTCAATAGATTTTCAGCTTGTTTATTTCCTTTGATTTATTTGTCTTTCTTTAGTCAATTTGTGGAATCAATTTGAGTGACAAGTGTTGTGTACTAGTATCTGTCATAGCTGGACCATTTTGACTTGGTTTCAGCTTGTTTATTTCCTTTGATTTAGTTGCCATACATGACAGATAGTAATGATAACTTGAGCTAAGATTGGTGTAACTTCAACTTTCTGCTTCTTTAAAGGCTTGGCATCCTTTAACTAATGGATGAAAGATGGCTAACCCGAATCCAATCCACACTTTGGTGAAATCTACTTTTGAGAATACAAGAAAGTCATACATGAATTAAAATCATAAGTAAAATCTTGTAATTACAATCTATTAAAATCTTAAGAAAAATCTATTACATTAAAATCATGTAATTACAATCTATTAAAATCTTAATTGAATAGAGTCTCAATCTGAAGTTGTGTTCATGTCCTATATTTAGACTTTCTGTAAATTTTGTTATCTTTAGGAAATAAAAAAATTCACTTTCTTCATAGTGAAAATATGGGTGGAAAAGCTTCTTCATTGTCCTTTCGTGCTTCGGATCATGTGAATGTTTCCTCAAGTTTGTTGGCCCACGTTTGCACTTGCAAACTTGAGTTTCAGCCAGACCTCACACTGATGTGTATAAAAAAATTGACAAGACCAACATACTTATTCCAGGTCCAAAGCACCACACATTCACTGATTCAAAATGAACAATATTCTTGTATGATATGAAACGACGATGAATTTCAGAACTTCCTTCAATTGACAATGGCAACTAACTTTGTGTAGACACGATCCACTATAGAGATAGAGATAATCAAAAGGAAATACAGGATATTAATAGAATGAGGAGAAATGGCTTTTTCCTGTTAGTAGAGTTAGATTCTTGGAAGGGATTTTGCCCGGATAAACTGTTTAAGAATGGCCTTCTCCTCATCAATGCGCTTCTTCTCTTCGGGGTCTTTTGGCTTAACCTTTCTTTTTTCTTCCAGTATCCACTTGAAAAGTTCGTGCTGTTGATCCTCTGGGATTGGTTCTCGCAATTTCACAGGCTCTGTGATGGTTGACAGGGGCAGGGGTTTGTCAGTAGTAGTAGGAGTTGTTTGAGTTGTTGTCGAAACTGTAGTAGTTACTTCTTCCTCTAAATCTGTGTCTTTCTTTTTCGTCCGCATGAACAGGTAAGCTACAAAAGTAAGTGTAAACCTCAGTGTCCAATTACAAGTAAATTAAAATCCATAAAAACTACATCAAGAATCAAATAATTCAAAATAGAGGTGATTCACTCATTAATATAATCATCCAACAAAAAAGCAAATAAGGTACTGCAGCAATTATATGATTAGTGAGGTATCTTCCTCTCTACCAATCCTAAAATGCTTGTTTGGAACATGTCCATTAACAACTATGCCAGGTACACATCCTATGTCCATACCCACATGTGTTAACATCTATGTGCCCATTTAGCAGACTATTAAGAAAGCCATATTTAGATTTTTAAAAAAATTACAAGAAAAATCATCCCTAATCAGTCGCAAACAGAAGCAGAGAAAGCATAAGTAGCCTGTTCAAGTTCACGGAGATTACAATGTAATAAGAAGACATTCTATGCTGCTCAAGTTAACAGAGATGATTTCATCCAGTCTATTATAATGTTCCTCACTAATAACGTCTTTATGTTGAACTACTTCTTTCTAAAACAAAAGAAGTGCCACCTAGGCTAAATAGAAACTTTCTGCTCACTTGTACTTACAAGTCAGCATCCTTAGTTACACAATGGCCATTAAGTTCAACATCACTAATATAATGGTGAATTTTTGTTTTCCTCCAAAAGTGAGTGCAGGTAGCTTATTACAGAGTATCAAGTATCGACCATGTTTTTGTGGTCAACAATTGAAGT